GGTGAGTTTGATGCTGACGTGCAAGGAATTTCTTGCGATGCTGCCATTTCTGCTCAGAAGCGATCTTCCAACAGGCGAGCCCTGTGCCAAGCATCTGGACCCTGTTGCTGACTTTCCACTCTCACCCCAGGCGGGATGTCAGCACCCATCCCCTTGCCGTCTCCCTCTCGGGTCGAGGTGGAGTTTTCCGGGCCGGGCTCCGGGGCCCAGAGCTTTGCAGAGCAGCATGAAGTGTGGGTGCTCTGGCAATCTCCCCGTCCCTTCCATCTTCAGTGCCATTGTAGCTTCCCCAGGTCCCAGGCCACTGCCTCTAGGTCCCCCGGCCCCCAGCACCACTCTCCCCTGGGCGTTGTAGCCGCTGTCACTGACGCCTGGCTCTGTTCTGGCCCTTGTACCACAGGACAGCCCTCAGGCCTGTTGAACTTGCTCCTACGAGGCCAGGCGGGGGCTCAGGGTGACGCCCAGGCGAGGTGGTGGCCTCACAGGCTAACACGCAGTGAGGACTGGGAGCTGCTGGGAAAGAAACAGCTGTAGGTGCCTTGCTCTTCCTGCCCACGTGGCTGGGGGCAGTTCTGGCTTCACGGCCTCGCCTGCTTGAACTGAAGCCAATGTCCGCTCCCCGCTCAGTCCTGTCCCGGGACCCCAGGGGCGGGAGCAGCAGCACATCCAGGGCCTGGGCCGCGCTGGGGCCTCTCCCACAGACTCCGCCTCTCCCACTACCAAACGCTCACGCGGGGAGGTGGCCTGTAGCTCGTACACGGAGCACCTCTCTCCCGTGAGGAGGGGGCCCTGTCAGCCCTTCGCTTACAGGCTCCGCAGGCTCAGTCTGGGGAGAGGTGGCGGGCGTGGGATCTCCCTCGCAGACGGGCTCAGAGGTTTACACGTTTTCTAAGCTTTTGATAATGTGAAGCTCCAGGTTAAGAGACGCTGTTGAGCGCATTGCAGGTATGTAATTTTTGGTGTATGTATGTAATATTTAAGGTTAAAAGAAAATAAATTTCAAAAGTAAAGATATTAACTCTTATTAGAAACACAAAACAAGCAAAAAAGAAGCCAAAGCATGATGCGTCTTGTCTGCCGCCAGCGGCTCCTCACTGAGCTGTGCCATTTCCACCCGGCGGGCAGCAGCCGCGGGGAAGCAGGGAGCCGGCCCGGCCGCGGCACTGGGGCCCAGCCGCGTCCTGTGTGAGGAACATCCAGTGGCTGGGGGCCGTGCCTCAGTGCGCCATTCGTGTGGAGATGTGAATGCCTGCTGCTTAAGATCTGTATAAAGTGCTGTGTGATTAAACCTTTTTTTTTTACTTGCATTTTTTTTTGGTTTGGCTCATTACAATGTACAAAAAGAAGGTGGCACCATTAAACCTGCCTCTGCCATGCGTGTGGGCTCTGTCGCCTTTCTTCCCCTCTGGGCACCTTACCCCCTCCCCGGGGAAGGAGACCCGTTGGCGGGAGGCCCTGGCCCTGCCCTTGGTGCTGCGGTGCCTTCCGCGTTCCCAGGAGTCACCCAAGGGGCTCAGGTTTTGGAGGGTCAGTGTGCCTGCCCTGGGCAGGGCTGGGTTTGTTCTTCAAGAGCCCGTTTCAGCAACGTGGGCCACCTCCCAGGTGCTGGGGAGCTGGCATGGAAGCACCTGCCTGGGCCGTGAGCCAAAATGGCTGCCAGTTGGGAGACTAGCATCCGCCCCTCCCTGCTGCTTCCTTTTAACTGCTGCCCAACTGCCCACAAGGATGGGGCAGGGTAGGGCAGAGGAGGCCGGAGGAGGCTGCACGGCCTACAGCCCTCCGTGGAGGGATGACAGGCTCCTTTAAGAAGGGAACAGGTGCCTGCCCCTTTAGGTTCTGGTCCTTGTTTCCCCAATGCCCCTTCCTTGAGGCGTTTTCGCTTTCGGCGGAGACTGGCTGGCTGTGTGGTCCTCGGTAAGAATGGCACGCCGGCCCCGAGCCTGGCTTCCCTCGTCGGGTGTCTGGTGGCTGAGCTCCCTGGTGCGAAGGGGTTATAATAGACTTTGGGGCTGGGCCTTACTCCCTGCAAAGATACCTGGACCCGCTCTGGGCCTGTGCCCACCAGCACAATGACTGCCCAGTCCAGGAGGCACCACTGGGCATCATTCACATTAAACACTAGAGTCCGACCGAGCAAGACCCCACTCCCTCCCCCGCCCCTCGGATCAGACCAGCAGGCTGGCGATGCCACTTTATTTGGATTTGATTCATGGGGTGGGGCTCCCAGAACAATAGGGTGGCCTCCACAGACAATGGGTAAACCAGCTGGGCTCCTGGCCCAGGGCCTCAGCCTGGCCTTTGGCGGGCAGAGCAGGTCCTTCTGAAGCACAGCCTCTACCCACAGGAGTCCTCCCCCGCGGGAGCTGGGACAGGCCCTCCAGGCCTGGGGGAGGGAGGGCCCTGAGCTCAGATGACACTAAGTGGACAGTAAGGCACAGCCAGGCGAGGGTCATACGGGATCTTCCGGAGGCGGCGTCTGCGGAGGCTGCTGGCTGGGTGGCAGCGGCTGCGGCTCCAGGCGGGATGAAGGCTCACTGACCATCCAGATGTAGTTTGGGTGCACCTGGCCCTGCACCGCCTCGCTGACCATTAACTCCCCGTCCACAGCAAACATCCCCTTCCCATCCTTGGGCTCCAGGCGGAAGGCCACCACGGGCACATACACCAAGTAGGGACAGTCGCACTCCATGTGCCTGCCCTTCTCCATGGCCAGGAAGAGGCGCAGCAGCATGGCCCGAGACACGCCTGCCCGCACATAGAACAGGTGCATGGCGCCGGCCGCTCGGTGGCCCATGGGGGCCGCAAACATCTCGCTGCCCAGGTGCGAGTGCAGCAGCGCCAGCACCAGCACGAAGTCCTGCTCGGGCACCACAGTCCAGTGAGCGGGCACCGGCTCCTCCAGGGGCACGAGGTGGGTGTCCACAGGGCCCTGATGGTCCTGCCGGTCCAGGGCAGGGGAGGCGGGCACCTTGGCGGCCACCCGTTCTGCGGGGAGGTAGGCCAGCTGGCCCCGGTAGACCCGCAGGGCCGCCAGGCGCAGGAGGGTGCCCACAGTAAAGCGCATCTCCCCCAGGCGCCGAAACTTCTCACTTTCGATGTCCACGTCGGCAATGAAGCCCCAGGCCAGGCTGAGCACAGAGAAGACCCGCAGCCCTGACTCCATCCGCAGGGACAGCAGGTTCATGGGCGCCAGCCGCCGGCGACACAGCAGCAGCGTGCAGTTGTTCAGGAGGTCTTCGTTGGTCACCTGCTCGTAGCTGCGAGGGGAAAAGGACTCATGCATCCTCTGCGGACCGCCTCCCAGGAAGTGGGGAGCGGGAAGAGGCAGCCACGAGAGGGCCCCAGAACTGAGGGTGGGCGCTCCGGCAAAGAGGGAAAAGAAGTTACCCTCACAGATGAGATTTTCTAGAAAACCAGGCAGTGGGCCCGCACTGAGGGGAAACTGAGGCCCACGCTGGCCCTGGGTTCTCACCCGGCATAATGGTTCACAGAAGCTGCCAGCGCATTGCCGGAACCGGCCGGGAGGCTACACAGGGGCTTCCGGATGGCGGTCTCCCAGTCGGGCCGCTCCATGAGCCCGTTCACCACCTGTGGGAGCACAGCGGCCTGAGCCTGGCTCAGCCTGGGGACACCCCGCCCCGCTCCCCACTCCCCGCCCTGCCCCCCACGCCGGCCCCCTGGTGCCGGCCTCACCTCGTGCATCAGCCCGTCACCCGACATGACGACCAGCGCGTCCCAGCGTCCCAGCTCCTCCGCCCGCACCAGCTCCCGGGCGTGGTTCCGCCGCTCTAGGAGGTAGGAGGGGGAGACCAGGTGGCTATGGAGGAGGGTCCTATCAGTGGGTGCTCCGTCCTGGGGGTGGGGGGGCACTCACCAGTGAGCATGAGCCTGTAGGAGACATCAGCCTGAGCCAGCCGGGGCTGCACGTGGCTCCGGAAGAGCTGCAGGCCCTTGCCCTTGCCGCCCCGCGGGTTCAGCAGCACCAGCACGCGGCAGGGCCGCGGGAGCAGGTTCCGGGGACCACCGGCTGCAAAAAACACGCCTGAAAAGGCCGCGTCCCCAACCGGCCACTAGGGGGCGCGGGGTCACAGCTGGGGTACCGGGATGGAAACGGGTGCCTGAAATACCCGGGTCCTGGATGCAGCAGAGGCGAGCCAGAGGCAGCGGCCTCCAGCAGGGAGCCCCAGGGGGAGCAGGGCACCCCTGACATCCCGTCCTGGGTTCCGGCCCTGCCAGTCTCCGGCCTCACCGGGGACAGCGTTTCTCTCCAGCGTCCCCAGCCCCTCCCTTTTGTCCAGCTGAATGGGCATCCTTCCTGGCTAGGGAGTGAGGGGATCCCCCTATAGCTCTTCCCCACCCGGCCCCCACAAACCTGGATCCATGACCTCGACCCGCGGCTCCGGCTGCCTAGGGCTCCCCGGCGCTGTCGGGGCGCTGCCCGCGGCGGTCGCTCCTGCCTTCAGCTCCTTATCGGTGCTGCCCAGGCGGGCGTCGCGGTGCCGGCTGTGGGTCTCGCCCTCCCCGCCCGGAGTCCGGGCTGTGGGGACACCCGCATCATCCCCTTCGGCGGCCGGATCTGAGGAAGAGGAGACAGCGCTGGCGGAGTCCGGAGCGGCTCCCCGAGGTGAGGGGCGCGCGGCCGGATCCTCGGACCCGCGCGGGGAGCAGCGCGCCCCGGCATCGCTGAAGGCTCGGGGTTGGGGACTTAGTGTTTGGACGGGTCCAGAGAGCCAAGGCCCGGTGACACCCAGGACGCTCCCGTCCTGGGACTGAGCTGCCAGCCGCTGTGACGAAGGGTCTCTTCCCGGGGCCTCGGGTTCCGGCCCGACGGATGAGTCAGAACCCCGCGGCTCCCTCCGTCGGACCAGTCACCTCACACCCCCTCCCCCGGGACTGCAGGGGGAGGGGAGTCCAGCGACGTACAAATCCCAGAACTTGACACCGTGGGGCACGAAGTTTGGGGCGAGCCATCCCGGCCCCAAGCCATCCTGGTCGCCGGGTCCCCAACCCCAGCTCCAGAATGGCCGGGGTAGCCGCGCGCACCTTCAATGGCCCGGCTCTGCCCGGACGCGCGCCGCGATCGTGGGAGCAGCGCGGGATCGCGAGGGGACGGAGCCCAAGCCCGGCCGCCAGCCGCCGCCTCTCTCAGCCGAGTGGGCGCGGAGGCCACGCGATTCGTGGCCCAGTTCTCCGGGCCGCCCAGGAGCCACGAGCCGCGAGAAGGCAGGGCGGGCGGCCGGCCCTACCCAGTTTGTCCGGTTTGCTGGGGAGGCGCCACCTCGGTTCCCTACAGAGGCCGAGAGCGGACGCAGCTCGTCCCGGGCTCAGCCCCGCGTCGGAGGCACAACTGCGGCGGGATAGACGCCGACTCCACGGCTTCGCTGCCTCCGGCCTCAAACTTTTCGCTCAACTTGGCCGCCCCTCGCCGGGATGCGGAGAAGGCTCCGGCTTCCGCGCCCGCCTGGCCCCGCCCCGCGCCCCGCGCCCCGCGCGCTCCAGGGGGAGGACCCGGCGCGGCTGGGCCCGCCCACTCCCCCGCCTCCCGGCGCTGCCTCCCGGCGCTGCCTCCCGCACCGCCCGCGCCGCGGCTCAGCCGCCGCCGATCCTCCGCTGGGTCCCGGGCGTGACTACGCGCCCCCGCCGCTCGGCGCAGGCGACTGGCGAAAGGGGGCGCCGCGGCCCGGCCGGGGTAGAGGCGAAGGTGATCCGCGAGGCCCAAGTCCCGCGCCGGCCACGAGCGGCGCGCCGCGAGCGCCGCGTTCGGGGCGCGTGAGGGTGAACGCGCAGCGCAGTCTCCCCGCGAACTCGTCGCGTCGCCCGAAGTCGTGGCGGGCCGGAGACGGGTCTTCCCCCTTCACGCGCCCATCTCCAACCATTGGGAAATCGGAGGCCTAAACCCTCGCCCCTGTACCGGGGTGTCTCTCCGGCTGCCCCCGTCCTCCGCAGAGCGTTCCTTTAGCTTCCTGACGCCGGAGCAGCCGAGCGCGCGGTCCCCCGGGGAGGGTGGGAGACCGGCGGGGGCCGCGATGGGGAGGGAGGAGGGGCCTTTGTCAGGAACCTCCAAGCACCTTCGAGGCTCCTCTGGGCCAAAGAAGCGGCCGGCGGTCCGGCCCACCGACCAGGAGACTCGGGGTGCAAATAGGCCTGGGGGTCCGCTTCGGGATCGGAGAGCCCAGCGTTGGGGGCGCGGCCCTCGTCCCGACCCGGCTCGGCCGGAAGATGCAGACGTGCAGGGAGTTTTCAGTGGAGGCAGGCGGGGCGCGTGTTGGTGGGTGTGATCTCCAGTCACGGCGCACGTGTCCGCGACCAGCTCCAGTTCCCTCTCTGGAGCGTTGTTTGCGGATCTGGGGAAGAAGCTGCCCGGACCGGAGCAGGT